AACCGTCACCCACAATAGATTCCATCAAGGAAGTTCTAGGACAATACTTTGAGCAACTGCTTTAGGCTTTTTTCCTTTCCTTTTTTTCTTTTTTTTCCCTTTCTGTATGTTTATGTTCTTTCCAATCCATCCATTTCCTTTCTAATATGGTCAATCAATGATAATAATAATGACAGTATTGGGGCCAGCAGACGGGGTTGTGGTTATGTTGCTAGACTCCCCATGGTCGACTGCAGTTTGAGTCCTGGGCCTGGTGCCTTCAAATTCAGGCTGGACACATATGCCCATGTGCCCAGGATCCCCGGAGGAGAACAGAAGAGAAGGGATTGTGGTGTGGCCATTCCCCCTGGGGTGTGATTTCTCTCTATCCAGTAAGCACATGTACTCTATAGCAAAAATCTCTCTCTTAAACAAAAAAAGAAAAAAAAAAGGAAGCATTGTTTTACCATTGTCAGATGATAGGGGAAGGTCGTGGTTTATTAGCTCGTATTGGTGGGATTCAGTAGGAAGCTGGGCACACTACTAGACAGTCCATTGTCCACTTATCCATTACTGAGTTACTGAGGTTTGATCATGCAAGGACACAATGGCTTGCAAAGTCCTTCCCAAAGTACATCTGTGCTAGTTAAAGTGAGGGGCTCTTTTTTTCATATACATATGAGAGAGAGAGAGAGAGAGAGAGAGAGAGAGAGAGAATCACCCTGGATGGGGTATGATTTTGCTGGGATCTCCTTCCTCCAGTCCTCCAGCCCTCTCCCTCTGGATTTTGGGCACTTGCTCAGGGTGTTTCAGGCTGACTGGGCTGAGGACTGGAAACACGGTTGCTATGTGAGATCCAGCTTCTCTGGAACAATGCATTACTAGTGTGTCATGGGGCTGGCCCCTGCAAATTTTTGAAGGAAGTGTTGCTGTACCTGCTTGGGATGCCATGCCAAGTATAAAAGCTAACTTCGATGGTTTCTGGGAATATGTAGACAATAACCTTAGAACTTTTCTTTATTGGGTATTTATAAAACTCCAGGTGTTTTACATTTTCTAGAAAAGAAAACTGAGGCCAGAGGAGGGTGTATGCCTTACTTAAAATTTCACACAGTTAAGTGATACAGGGAGGACCTTAAGCAGAACTGCCTCATCAGAGTCTATAATCCTTTCACTAAAGTTTGTACTGAGATTTACAGTTTATATAAAAACTTTAACACACGTCATTGTGTTTGCTGAACAGAGAATTTCCCAGTGAAACAGATCTTCTTACAGACCTAATTTTAGAGTTGAGAAAAAAGGGTTTTCAAAAGGTTATGCAACGAACCTGTCCCCCGTGCTACTCAGCTGGCGACTGGTGTGGCTGAGCCTCAAAACCCAAATCTCTATGGTAAAAATATCATTTTTATTTAAAAAATTCATAGGAATATCACAAACTTGGGGAAAAAAAGAAAAAGAAAACAAATTTTGGCCTCAGTTTCTCCAATGGGACTGACAACAGGAGGATATACTGAATCCCTCTTCAATGTTTTCCTCTGCCTATACCTGCGATAAGCAGTAGGAAGCTCTTACAGACATGTCTCATTCCACCCCACGGGACACAATTATATCTTAAGTTATATTAAAATTACATTATTGGGGGCTGGCAGGTGGCACTGTGGTTAAAGGTGCTGGACTCCTTCATGGCCAACCATAGTTCAGGTCCCGAACTTGGTGGCTTGTTTCCTCACTTTCCCTCTCTCTCTCTGTCTCTTCTGGTCAAATTAAAATAACAACAATAAATAAACAAATAAAATATTCAGAAAAAATTACATTGTTGGTAGCTTTTTAAGAATTTGTTTTTTTAAGAATGATTTTTATTTAGTTTTATTTATTTATTGTTATTATTTTTGAATTTTGGTATAGAGCACACACATTCACCAGAGAGAGAGAAAGTGAGAAAGCAAGCTACCTGGCTTGGGACTTGAACTGAGGTCAACCATGTGGTAGTATAACACCTTAACCACCATGCCATCTGCTGGCCCCCATCGGTAGCTTTTTTTTTTTTTTTTTTTTTTTTTTTTTAGGTTATGCCATATGGCTCATGCGCTCACCAGAGAGAGAGAAAGAGAGAGGGAAAGTGAGAAATCATCCCATGGCGGGGAAAGCAAGGGGGAGGTGGCAATGGCCATCCTGCAATCCCTTCTCCATTCTCCTCTCAGGATTTTGGGTGTGCACACACACTTGCCTGGCAGTTTCAAGCTGCCAGGTCTGGGGTTAGAACTGCTGTCAGTCAGCAGTTAAATCCAGCACCTTAATCATGACGCCTCCTGCTGGCCCCCCATATTGTGCTCTTCGCACCAAGTCCTATAATGGTGCTGAGACTGGTCAGATTTCATCTGTCTCTGGACAACAAATACTTTTTCTAATTTTTAAAAGGAGCCTTTTAAGAATTATATAAGTAATAGGAGTGTATTGAAACTAATTTTAAAAATAGAGCAATGCATAAAAGAGAAAATATGTAGAATTATTAATTTTTAAATTATACAGTAATTATGTATTTTTTATTGGGGATTTGGAAAATTCAGAAAAATCATGAAGGAGAATCATAGGCTCACAAATGATTGCTTTTGGTTATTTTTATTTTCACTTTTTTTTTTACACAATAGCATTCATCCTTTAGAGGTAATTTGTATGTGTGTGTGTTCTGTTTTTATTAATCATTTTATCACGAGCATTTTTCCATGTCCTCAAATGGTCTTTTTGTGCATTTTAAAGGGCTTCTTATATAGTTCATGGAGAGGATGTGCCTTTGTTTAAATGATTATTTTTTAAAATGAATTATTGGACATTTTGAACCTGGATGTTTTGACTCAAATTTGCCTTTTTCCCTTTTTTGTCTCATATTTTGCCTCTATTTTGTTTAATTTTTTTTTTTTTAGTTATGTTTATCTGGGCATTATTTACAATAGTTTCAGGAGTGTGAGAAACAACCCAGTATCTTCTTACTTATTAAAAGAGAACAATGCTTAGGTTGAGGATTTACTTCGTGCAAACTCTGTCAAGACTGAACAAGTTCTCATGAAAGCCCCCACCTCCTACCACAAGAGTAGGTATTGTTATTTTTCCGGTTACGCAGATAGATCACAGAGGCACAGAGAGGGTGGGTATCAGAATACATTTGTTTGTGACAAGCAAAGCATCATTTTTCCTCTCCCAGTCTGAATATGAGCAACTACTAGTGATGGTTTAGAGGATCAGTGACGTCAAGGCTGCTGTCACTTCAGTCCTTTTCTCCTGTGTCTCTTGGTTTTGAAATAGCTGCGACAGCTCTAGACATTCCAACCTGATTCAGGGCAGGAAGAGAGTGAAGCAGATGGCCATGACTAAACACTCTGTCCTTTTTATCAGGAAAACATTTTCTTTCTAGAACCCTGTCTCTCCCCCCTTCTCACGAATCATTGGGTGTTATATGACCACTGCCAACTGCAGAAGAAGCTGGGGAATTTTTTGTTTAGTGTTTCCAACTTTTGGAGTAGAAAGAGGGATTTGGAATGACTTTGGGATCAACCAATCAACAGTGATGCTACGGACTAAATTCTATTCCCTCCAAATTCAAATGATCAAGCCCTCACTCTCCTCTGTCGCGTATCTGTCTCAGATAATAGGGTATTTAGCAGGTAATTATGGTGAAATGAGGTCAGAAGAGTGGGGCCCTTCTTCGATAGGACTGTGGCCTTTTTAGAAGAGCAGAGACCACCCTCCTCCAGCACCATGTGAAGACAGTGATAAGGCACTCTCTGCAAGCCCAAGAAAGAGACCTCACCAGAACCAAACCACAGTGGCACCTTGATCTCATACTTAGAGCTTCCAAACTGAGAAAACGAATTTCTGTTGTTTAAACCACCCACTCTATGGTGTTTCATTAGGCACCCAGGCTGACTAAGACAAGTGGCCACCACAAGAAACTTGCTAAGGTCAAGCACTGGTCTTATTTGACCTCAGCAGCCTATTTCATAGAGGGGCCAACCATCAGCTGGGAATGATGCTTCTCACATCTCTGGCCTAGACTAGAAGTGGCCCGGAGCCTGCCAAACCTTCTCCCTCACTGTATATAATGCCATCTAACACATGTTAACATTTTCCGTCAATATTAGTGTCACCGCAGAGTGCCGTTAAAATAGAAGTGGTTTCATACATTATTTGTCTGCGAGTGTCCACTGAGTCATTCTTTCGCTGGAGAGCTGTTTCCTTGGCATTTATAAACTCCGTAACAATTCTGCAGCTTACTGGGTCTGTCTCCTCAGGCTGTGACGGGGGAGAGGAGACTCTGTGAACTGTTTGAGCTGAAGCCAGTTACTGCATCTCATCTCAGCCTGCTTGCAGATGATCTGAACCAGGGGGCTACACAGGGGAGAGTCTGCACTGGGCCATGACCATGCCCCACTGCATCCTAACCAGAGGAGGCTCAGAAAGCACCCAGCGTTTGTTACTGTCTTTCAGTTATGGCTATTTATTTATTTTTTTCCTGGAAATTTTTTTTACTATTATCATAATCTTGTTTATATTACATTGACTCATGTATAAGTTTACAGTGTATTACATTTCTTTTTCAGAAGGAATGCCAAGCATACCAGTCAAGACAAAGACATTACTATCTACATCATCATCATCAAATAGCTTTTCATCATTTTTTCCAGATTATTATTATTCTAGTTCTGGTTATTTTTTGAACAGAAATTTAAATGAGCAATTTTAGTGACTGGGAATACAGTAATGAATTATTGACATTCTAATAAAGGGGAAGTTTCAGATAAAAAACTGGATTTCTTTTCTCTTTCTTTTTTCCTTCCTTCCTTCCTTCCTTCCTTCCTTCCTTCCTTTCTTTCGTTTTTTTTTTTCTTAGGTTGAGGATTTACTTCGTGCAAACTCTGTCAAGACTGAACAAGTTCTCATGAAAGCCCCCACCTCCTACCACAAGAGTAGGTATTGTTATTTTTCCGGTTACGCAGATAGATCACAGAGGCACAGAGAGGGTGGGTATCAGAATACATTTGTTTGTGACAAGCAAAGCATCATTTTTCCTCTCCCAGTCTGAATATGAGCAACTACTAGTGATGGTTTAGAGGATCAGTGACGTCAAGGCTGCTGTCACTTCAGTCCTTTTCTCCTGTGTCTCTTGGTTTTGAAATAGCTGCGACAGCTCTAGACATTCCAACCTGATTCAGGGCAGGAAGAGAGTGAAGCAGATGGCCATGACTAAACACTCTGTCCTTTTTATCAGGAAAACATTTTCTTTCTAGAACCCTGTCTCTCCCCCTTCTCACGAATCATTGGGTGTTATATGACCACTGCCAACTGCAGAAGAAGCTGGGGAATTTTTTGTTTAGTGTTTCCAACTTTTGGAGTAGAAAGAGGGATTTGGAATGACTTTGGGATCAACCAATCAACAGTGATGCTACGGACTAAATTCTATTCCCTCCAAATTCAAATGATCAAGCCCTCACTCTCCTCTGTCGCGTATCTGTCTCAGATAATAGGGTATTTAGCAGGTAATTATGGTGAAATGAGGTCAGAAGAGTGGGGCCCTTCTTCGATAGGACTGTGGCCTTTTTAGAAGAGCAGAGACCACCCTCCTCCAGCACCATGTGAAGACAGTGATAAGGCACTCTCTGCAAGCCCAAGAAAGAGACCTCACCAGAACCAAACCACAGTGGCACCTTGATCTCATACTTAGAGCTTCCAAACTGAGAAAACGAATTTCTGTTGTTTAAACCACCCACTCTATGGTGTTTCATTAGGCACCCAGGCTGACTAAGACAAGTGGCCACCACAAGAAACTTGCTAAGGTCAAGCACTGGTCTTATTTGACCTCAGCAGCCTATTTCATAGAGGGGCCAACCATCAGCTGGGAATGATGCTTCTCACATCTCTGGCCTAGACTAGAAGTGGCCCGGAGCCTGCCAAACCTCCTCCCTCACTATATATAATGCCATCTAACACATGTTAACATTTTCCGTCAATATTAGTGTCACCGCAGAGTGCCGTTAAAATAGAAGTGGTTTCATACATTATTTATCTGCGAGTGTCCACTGAGTCATTCTTTCGCTGGAGAGCTGTTTCCTTGGCATTTATAAACTCCGTAACAATTCTGCAGCTTACTGGGTCTGTCTCCTCAGGCTGTGACGGGGGAGAGGAGACTCTGTGAACTGTTTGAGCTGAAGCCAGTTACTGCATCTCATCTCAGCCTGCTTGCAGATGATCTGAACCAGGGGGCTACACAGGGGAGAGTCTGCACTGGGCCATGACCATGCCCCACTGCATCCTAACCAGAGGAGGCTCAGAAAGCACCCAGCGTTTGTTACTGTCTTTCAGTTATGGCTATTTATTTATTTTTTTCCTGGAAATTTTTTTTACTATTATCATAATCTTGTTTATATTACATTGACTCATGTATAAGTTTACAGTGTATTACATTTCTTTTTCAGAAGGAATGCCAAGCATACCAGTCAAGACAAAGACATTACTATCTACATCATCATCATCAAATAGCTTTTCATCATTTTTTCCAGATTATTATTATTCTAGTTCTGGTTATTTTTTGAACAGAAATTTAAATGAGCAATTTTAGTGACTGGGAATACAGTAATGAATTATTGACATTCTAATAAAGGGGAAGTTTCAGATAAAAAACTGGATTTCTTTTCTCTTTCTTTTTTCCTTCCTTCCTTCCTTTCTTTCGTTTTTTTTTGTATTAGAAGAATTGATAGCCCTGGGCTGGCTTTTCATGATAACTATCACTTGTATCCAGCAAGCACTGTCTCCTTTATAGATGGAGTATGAGTTCTGGATTTTGTTGCACTCCCCACCACTCCCTATTGTCTCATTTGATTTACATGGAATGTCAGTAGAAGATACATTATTACTATTAATATAATTATTGCCATTTGAAGATGAAGAAACAGAGGCTCAGAGAATTAAAGTGACTTGCCCCAAGTCTAACCATGGACAGTGGAGCGCAACTTCACAGGCTGCAGTCTTTACCACCATGCAGAATGGTGATTCAATGGAGGCAGAAACACAGATATATCATTAAGGAAAAACATTTAACCCATTTAAGATAAAATCAGAGTGATGTATCAGTAGGAAACAAATAGCACTCTCAAATTAGGATAACTCAAGCAGAATTTCATAAAGAAACTACTTGTAAAGGTGTGGGCAGAGTGTAGGTAAACCACAAGGCATAATGCAGAACCCCAGGTTAGTAACAGGGGCCTCCATTACCACTCTTAAGCCGTTAGGAGCAGGTGAGGGGGTGAATTACTGGAACTGGGGAGATAGGACTGTGGAGAGGGCAACTTTATTTGAGCTGAGATCTTTGGCAATGGGATGTAGTCAGCCTTTGGGGATTTCCAGGGAGGGAACATGGAGAATAAATGCTCCCAGGTTCAAACTCCAAGTTCTCTCTATTCCCATTCACCTCCTGCCAGGGCCAAACCCAGCTGGAAGTCAGAGGGCTAGAGCCCACTGATTCATCCCTAGGAAAGCATGTCTCCTGAGAGCACAGAGGAGGGTGGAGAAGAGAAGTGAATAACTCAGCAGGGGCAAAGGGAAGATGTCCAGCATAAGGGGCAAGGCAAAGCCAAGAGCATGTGAGAGGACAAGGTGGTATAGGGATCAGAATATGCCACCTCGGGACCAGTAGATGGCCTAGTGGTTACATTGCTGGACTCCCACATGGCTGACTGCAGTTCGAGTCCCAGATTCAGTGGCTTGAAAATCATGCTGGGCACATGGGCATGCATGTCCAAGATCCTGGGAGGAGAGTGGAGGAGAGGGGACTGTGGCATGGCCATCCCCCCTGGGGGGTGATTTCTCACTTTCCCTCTCGCTATGCCTGTCTCTCTCTGGTGAACGCATGTGCTCTAAGGCAAACACCTCTCAAAAAGAAAAAATATGCCACCTCAACATATACTACTTTGGCATAAGAATTATTTTGAGCTGAAGGCATTTAAGGTTCAACAGATATAGGAAGAAGCTCTCCTAGAGCTTCTCTTAGCTGGCCAAAAGCAGGAACTTCTGAGAAATAAGGACCACACAAGTCCCCTCTCCTGGGGAAATTTTATGGTCACAAAGAGGATAGAACTTCTCAGTGAGATGGAGCTGCACAAACCTAGGTGCCAAGATAGTCCTTGTCTTCCATTATCTCCCTTCTAGATAGACCTCTCTACAGTTTACCCCTCAGGAAGCCTAAACCCCCTGTTTCTTTGGTTACTTCTCTACAAATTTATCATCCTTTATTGCAATGGTATAAAAACCTTTAAGCCTGGGGACCAGCAGGTGGCATGGTGGTTAAGGCGCTGGACATTCCCACATGGCCAACCATGGTTCGAGTCCCAAACCTGGTGGCTTGCTTTCTCACTTTCCCTCTTTCTCTCTGTGTCTCTCTCTGGTCAAATTAAAAAATGAATGAATAAATAAAGTTACATAAAATTAAAAAAAAAAAAAAACCTCCAAGCCTAAGCACTTTTTGCTTCTCTATGAAGCACCTCCCCATGCCACATAAAACTTGAGACATCGAATACAATCCACTTGCTTTCTTCGCCTCCTGTTTCTTTTTTCTCTGTGTCTCTCTCTGGTCAAATTAAAAAATGAATGAATAAATAAAGTTACATAAAATTAAAAAAAAAAAAAAACCTCCAAGCCTAAGCACTTTTTGCTTCTCTATGAAGCACCTCCCCATGCCACATAAAACTTGAGACATCGAATACTTGCTTTCTTCGCCTCCTCTTTCTTTTTATAGAATTATTTTATTCAACTTTATTTTGAACTTTTATATCTTAATTTAATTTAGGTACAAATATTTATTTATTTTTAACTTGACCATAGAGGGATAGAGTGAGAGAGAGAGAGAGAGGAGAGAGGGAAAGTGAGAAAGCAAGTTGCCAGGTCCAGGACTTGAACCATGGTCAGCCATGTGGGAGCCCAGGGCCCTTAAACACATCACCTGCCAGCCCTTCCTCGCCCTGTTAATCTGTCTTTTGACAATTTACTTTGGAGATGTGGTCACTGAACCTAAGAGGGTAGTGAAGTTTCTTTGCTCTCTCCTACCCTTAGCATAAGACATGGCTCCCCATGTATCACGGGAGCCCCTACACTAGTGATGATGAGGAGGGGAAGAAATAAAGATAACGGGGAATTCGAGGTCCGGCTTCGATGGGAAGCATCTCCTTCTCCTTTTCACTCTCCTTGTTGGCTATGCCCAGCAACAACATCTACCAGAAGATTCGTTGATTCCACACCACAAATGCCTCAAGTTTACAGCACAGGGCTAGAGATATTTGTCTCGGTGACTTTCCAAATGGACACACAGCTGAACCATGTGGGATGGCATCTTTCCCCAGTTTTTCAGGGATGTGGCAAAGGGCATTGAACTCCAGCTTGGGAAAGCGACATCTTAAAACATCCACAAAAGGTCTGTCTGTTTTCCAAGTTCTCCTCTAAAATCTGTTCAGCTTAATCCTTTTCGACAAACATCGTATAACATGCCAAATGGAGCTCTATATTACCACCACTAAAAACCATTTGCTTACTTACTTTTAGAATTCACAGTTTCTGAAATCAATCGGACCATGGTTGTGGATCTTCAGGGAAGTGGATTTTCATCAGCGTATTTTAATCATCTTTGCAGTGACGTTTCCCATAGTCCAACCGGAGCATTTTAGGAATATCACTGTCAGCCGAAGTAACAGAAACAAATCCATAGGCACTTTAGCTGACACTTTAACAACTCAAATAACCTATAAACCTAGTACACCAGGTTAGGAAGCAATGTGCTTCTGAGAATATGTGAGGAAGGGCGGGGTTCAAAAAGGGGCACTCGGAGATGCTGGGTGAGAGTATTCACAGGAGGGCCATGATGTCCAAAGTAATTGAGGGAGTAGTTATGACACCATAAATTATGTATTGAGACCCACCAGTCTTCCCTTCCTTTATTCTTGTTCCTGGAACCTTACATTGTTCAGAGAGTAGGCAAGCCAAGTGTCTTAAAGGAGGCTCCCAGCCCTAGGGAGCAAACGATTTGTCCCATGCAAACATGGCAACCTCACCCTCTACCAACGAATCAAATTAGCAGGGGCATGTGATGCTACTCTGACTAATCGGCTGGAGAAGTTTGTGGAAAGGGCTGCCTTATTTGTCTCTAATCTAGGGTTTTTTGTTTGTTTGTTTATTTTCCTGCCATAGAGATTCACGTAGAAATAAATAGCTGTCTTTTCCCACTGGATCTTATCACAGTAGCTTGTGATGCTCTGGACTGCAGCAGCCAGACTGTGATAAGCGGGGAGCCAGGTCTTATGCTAAAGATGGGAGAGAGCAAAGAAGCCTCATGATGCCAAGGAACCAATGAGTTAACTAACCCATGACGTGTCCTACCTTGGGTCTTCTGTGTGACAGTGAGTTTCTTGTTGTTGAAGCCAGTGGACACACGCTGCTTGGATCTTGACGCATCACACAAGTGCATGCCACTCAGGAGTGGGAGGGGAACAGGAAGGGTAACTGGTGAATTTTTGACACATTGTTTTCCTAGTATATTGGTTAAAAAAGTAACAAAGAAATGCAAAACTCAATCAACATGAAAGTGTTGAAATAGAAGCTGCAAGTCTGCTATAATTTTCTACTTTCAACATACCTACATAAGTTGATGTAATGTTAAAAGAAATAGGATAAAGGGCCAGCAGTTGGTGTGGTGGTTTAAGTGCTGGATTCCCATATGACTCACTGCGGTTTGAGTCCTAGACACGGAGGCTTGAAATTCATGCTGGAAATGTGTGCGTGTGTGTCCAAATCCTGAGAGGAGAATGGAGGAGAAGGGACTGTAGCATGGTAATGCCCCTGGGGGTGATTTCTCAGTTTCCCTCTCTCTGTCTCTCTCTGGTCACTGCATATGCTCTATGAAAAAATGTGTTTATATATGTATAAATAAGCTTATGTATACAATATAAAATTTTTAATTAATTCATTATATTAATAGGACAGAGTAGGCACACCTAACAGTACATCTTGGTGTTTTGTATAAGTACTCCATTCTTTTTCATAAGTGTGTAATATTCCAAGATATAAATATATTGTAACTTTTCAACCTTACATAGAATGAGCTTCTAAAATATGTGATGCTTGAATAACTATATTCACAAATGCCTAATCTCTGACTTCAGTCATTTTCAGCAAGTCTCATTATCCTTCAGAGAGACATACACAAGGAGACAGGATTTTAGGGTCAGGCAGATTGGGGCCAGGCAGATTGGGGCCACTACATACCAGGTATGTGCTCTTGGAAAGTGATTAAACACTTTATACTTCAGTTATCTCATCCTTAAAGAGAGAGAGAGGAAATAAAACTTACCTCTTAAGGTTATTGGGTTAGAAATAATACATCAACCAATATAAAAGCAACCAAAAAGTAGTTATCTGATGCTCAATAGGTACTGCTTTAGAAAAGGAGCTGCCTCCATGACATGGTATGACTATTTTTGGTTATTCTCACTGTGGGCACAATAGACAAATACACATGCATACTTACTAGTGTAAGACAACGCATTGAAATTCCTGAGCAATTGTCCCCTGAATGGTGCAGCATTTGTCCATGGATATAATCTACATTCACCTTTTTGTCAATCCTGTAAGGAGGATAACTTAAACATGTAACTTCAGTTTCATGGGTAGAGGCTTGTAGATAGTCTGAGAAATTTATCAGATAGACCAGAAAAACACATCATTCATACTATGATTCTAACTGGCTGGAGTGACAGTCTAAATTAAACAAGGTAAACTATTTTAGCGAAAAACATAAAATTGGACTATTTGGTTCCTTTTCTTTCTTTCTTTCTTTTTTTTTTTTTTTTGTACAAGACTCATGGGAGAACGGGAGAAATAGAACTTAAGAGCTGCAGTGAAAAAGGCTTAGAGGCCAGCTGGTGGCATGGTGGTTAAGGTGGCTAGATCCTTGGATCAGCAGGTGCTGGACTCCCAATGGCTGACCACAGTTTGAATCCTGGACCTGGTGGCTTACTTTCTCATTTTCTCCCTCTATTGAGTGCATGTGCCAATAATAATAAATAAATAAAATAAAATAAATCATTTTTTTTTTAAAGGTGGCTAGATCTCCCATGGCCAATTGCATAGTTCTAGTCCCAGACTCAGTGACTTGAAAAACATGGGTATACTGGGACCAGCAGTTAGTGTAATGGCTATGTCGCTGGACTCCCACTTTGTCGACCATGTTTCAAATCCTAGACCTGGCGGCTTAAACTCACGCCGGGCGCGTGTGCGTGCTTGCCCAAGATCCCAAGAGGAGAATGGAGGAGAAGGGATTGCGGCGTGGCCATCCCCCCTGGGGGGTGATTTCTCGCTTTCTATCTCTGTCTTTCAGGCGAGCGCACATGCCCTCTAGTGAAAACCTCTCAAAAACAAAACAAAACAAAAAACCATGGGTATATGTGCATGAGTGCCAACATTCTGAAAGAGGAAATGGAGGAGAAGGGATTGAGGCAAGACCATGGCTCTTGGGGAGGGTGCTTTGGCACTTTTCTCTGACTCTCTCTCTCCGGTTAGTACAAGCACCGTCTAGAAAACTGAAACAAAAGAAAATGAAAACAAAAAGCCTAGAGATTTTATGCAGCTTTCATGTGAAGCCACAGAGTGATCCAGTTATCTGAACAAGTGAGCGTGATCTTAGTCCTCATAAAGAGAAGTAGGAAATTCCGAATGAGGAAGGTGATGACTCCACTTAGTTTACCCCCATCAGACCACATGTTCTAACAGTAGGGGTGGCAAGTAATTGGCATACAGGCTGAGGCTTTTTGTTTGCATGCCCATGGCAGAAGCTGCTAATTAATCATATTCCACTGAGTTCAGATGTAGCCTCTGAACCATGCTCAACACAGTTTTGAAGGCAGCCAATCTTTTTGAGTAGAGTTGGCATCCAAGACGCAGCCTGTTGGCAGCCAATGCAAT